CACTTAATCCCTGAGTGGACACACTAATGATAATTCCAGAGACATTAGTTTCTTTGCACAAAATGAGCAAGTTACATATCCAGTAACCTTCACGTGAATTATCCAAATAACTTAAATCATTTTTTTAATAAGGAAGTTTCAGGTCTGGTAAGTACAAAATTATTTAAAATATTTGTTTTTTAAATAATCAATGTTCAGTTAGTTATACTTTATTTTCCATTTTATGTCTAGAATACATATTTGCATTCTATCTTTAATCATTAGAAAAAGAAGAAATAGTTCTAATTATTATCTCTTACTAATATATGTCACAAACCTTCACAATATTTTTATATTATAGTAGAAGGAAACATCAGTGTCAGAAGATGAAGAAATTCTGGTGTATTCAAATATAAGTAAAGTTTTTTTTCTGATTATAAGGGCACTATTTATTGATTAGAGAAATCTGTGCAATACATTAAAGAAGGAAGTTGCTTGTAATTCAATAATGCTGTGACTATTGCAGACGATAATTGGTATTTCTTTTCTGAACCTCCACCCTGCAGTCTCACCTCATAGTTATAATAATCTGTAAGATGAACTAATTTTTATTGTAACATTAAATCTCTGAACTGCCACAGAACTAACACTATGAATATACCATTTTTCCTATTTTGTTTTCTGTCATTCTTCTTTCTGAATTTCCCAATTCTTATTTCATGGTAGAAAATTACATTTAAAATACAATTAGTGAAATGATGTTCGACTATACTGTAAGTTTGTAATTTGTTGTGTCAAATGAGTAGTGGAAAGAAGATAAATCTCTCTTGGTAGAGGCAACTACTGTGTTCAACTCAGAGCAGCACAGATAAGCATAACCATGGTTAAATGTAGGGAACCAAAGGTTTTTTTTTTTTTTTTTTTTTTTAAAAAAAACCCTGCTTAATCTTAAGAAGAAATACAAGTATTCGTGTGTTCCATGGTCTGACTTTAAGCACTGAAGGAAATGCAGAGAAGAGGAGATGATGTTGGTAGCAAGCTGTCAAATCATTAGAAGCAGATTTCAATATAATTTGCGCTGTAGCCAAGAGAGTTTGTTAACTAGGTCTTTTGCTACTTCTAGGTAAGTCAGTGGTGAGGAAAATGACAAGCTTTCAGATTCTACAGTTTCCTTGTTACCTCTTTCCACCACCACTTCTCTTTTAGCCTAACTTGCTGTGAGAATTAGACTGGTTTAGGCTCCCGAGATTTTATTTTTCCCTAGATAGCCCCTAAATATAATACTACCATATCCTAAAGTCAGAGGGGATAGAATAACCTTATTATTTAAAACATATGTAAAGAAACATTTTTAAATTGCCATCCAAATTCTGATTAGTTTTTAAGGCTGATTGAGAAAGGTGCACAAACTAAGTTAGGGTAATAAAACATTGTGGAACGATGGTAGCTCTGTTTCATGAGAGGGAAAAATACTGTCTAGACTTACTAACTATGTCTTTGGCCTTGCTCCTGTGCACCGGCAGATTCTCCACTCACTCCTGCCTCCTTCCTGGAGGGCAACACCACCACTCTTTGCCTCTGGCACCATAGCTTCACATAGGCTTCCCTTTGTATACTGCCATTTCTTCCTGCCTTGAGCCCCAATCCCTTAGGCTGGGCTACACATCTCTCCTTGATATTCACATGGTACTCTGACTCTTCCTCAATTGTGTTATTGTATTACTCTGTGAGTTTCCTTCCCATGGTCCCTGTAAAAGATACCTACAATCAAGGCAAAACCTGAAACACTTTCTCTGGAAGGAAACTGGCTTGCACTCCCTTCCGCATTGATGGTATTGTGCACTGTATGCACATAGATCTTTTTTTTAAAAAAGACTTTATTTATTTATTTTTAGAGAGAGGGGAAGGGAGGGAGAAAGAGAGGGAAAGAAACATCAATGTGTGGTTGCCTCCCACACACCCCCAACTGGAAACCTGACCTGCAACCTAGGCATGTGCCCTTACTGGGAGTCGAATTGGCAACCCTTTGGTTCACAGGCTGGTACTCAATCCCCTGAACCATGTTAGCCAGGGCAGATCTTTTTATTCAATGATAATATTGAATCTTCATCATGTCTATACTATACACACAATGCCCCCCTTACCATAGTCTCTTAAACCTCATCTGCATGTATGCAAAAATCTCAATATTATCTAAAACTTCTTCCAGTGACTCGAAGAGTTCTGAGAGATCCTCTTACATGCAATGAGGACCATATAAACTTGGATTTTTATTGTTTTTGCTACTGCCGCCTCATCAAGGTGCTGGCAACTACCCTGTTGCAGGTAGTTTCTCTGCAAATGCTCCTTCACTGCTAAGCATCTGGCATCTTCCCAAGGAATGGTAACTTCAGCTTCTTCCCTTCATACATGAGGTTCGAAACCAGTGCTCAGCATTGGGCTGCAGTGAGCAGCAGTGGGATGGGGACAATGAGGGCTGCCCCTTCTCCCCAATCATCCTTATCTTCCCTGTACTCCTTCCTGGTCTCAGCACAAAATCTCCTTTCTCTATTTTAGCCATCCCCATGAACAAACGAACAAACAAACAAACAAACAAGCAAGCAAACCAAAACCCTTAGCCTATCAGCTCACATAACTGTCTTCCCAACATGCGCATCAGGTCAACAGCTCTCCAAATAGTGTGATCCAGGCAGAAAACTATTGAAATTAAAAGCCTCGCTATGCATTTACACAAAGAGAAATACGATTTTCCAAAATCAGGTATAAAACGTATCACAAGCACTATTCATGAAAAATATTTCTAAACAAATATATAAGTAAACAAACTTAAAAAGTAATTGGAGGCAAGGAGTTCTGAAGTCTTTTATTTAAATACTAAAGGAATTCATCCCTCTTGCAGTTGGAGAGGTCACAAAGATTAAATAGTGTGCTGCTCAAGGTCAGAACACTGTTTATCAAGAGGATGAGAAGAGGTTCCAGTTTTGCTGACTCCGTTGCAAAGCTGGATTCCCCAGCTCCTCATGCACACGCTCACTACAGCTGACTTTATTGTCTTAAGCACTATAATTACTTTAAATCCCTTGGGGAGGGAGAAGAGGAGACATCTAATTTCTAGGCTGATCTTTGAATTCATTTTCCTAAATTACCTATAAGTAAGATTTACAAATTATACTAGAGATATATGAAGAAGCTCAGATAACAGCTTGGAAACAGTTAGGTAGGTGATTTGAGCCAGACTCATTATAGCTAATTTATAATGACAAATATGTCATTTTCATCTCTATAAAACTGATTACATTTATTTATGGTGTTCAGTTTGTCTTCAAGGCTGCTGAGCATTCTTACTATGTCAAAAGATACTAATAATTACATTGATTTAAAATAATAGAAAATAACCATAATACGTTGCAAGTGAAACAAGCCCAGAAATAAATAAACCCTTCCACAGAAAGCTCACTTATCAGTCAGACTTTTGGTTCACTGGGAAGTGGAAGAGAAAAATCTCAGCAACTGGCTGAAAATAGCTTTGAAATTCCCTCCTGAAATTCTCATTTTTGAACCACTAGTGGGAGCAATATTCAGACTGCACCACTTTTAGCAGCACATAACAGTGCTGTCAGTCCTTCAAAACATGGTTGTTTAGTGCAGTTTCTCCAAGTAGGATTAGTGGTGTGTTAGGTAATTTACCTGCATTTTCTATAATCTGTAATGGAAAGATCTTACACAATCTTAATATGGACATTATTTAAGGATCTATGTGATACATTTCTTCTAGAATTTAATGTCAGAAAAACATTTTCCTCCAGATGAACTCATTTGGTTCCATCCAATAGAAAATTTGAAGTTTATACACTTTTTTTTATTTCCCCTCTTTTTCCTTGACTGTCGGGACAAGCAGAACTAATTTTCTCATTGGATGGTTTCTGATTTGTATCTCTTTTGTTTCCTTAATTGTTCAATAATACCTGTTAATTTAAAAGATTCATAATATTTAGCTATGTATTAAAAAAACATAAATATCCCTAGCTCTGCCATTCATAAATAATTGCCATTAATATTGAGCTGTACATACTTTTCATCTTTTTCCACTAGTATGATACATACAGGGGTGTGGGCAAAAGTAGATTTACAGTTGTAAGTATGGGAAGCACAGTTTATCCTTGTATTATTTAATTATTAATTATTGTAATATTTATTATTATCCTACTTTTGCCCACCTCTGTATGCACAAGTCAGACCCCAGTAGCCATGGGGGGATTGGTTCCAGAAACACCACTAATATGAACATCTATGGATGCTCAAACCCCTTATATAAAATGTCACAGTATTTGTATATAACCTGTATGCATCCTCCCATATACTTTAAGTTATGTTGAGATGATTATACCTGACACAATGTAAATGCTATATAAATAATTGGTAAACTGCATTGTTTAGGGATAATGACAGGGAAAAAGTCTGTACATATTCAGTACAGATGAAACCATCGTAGGCCTAACTACATAGCACATGTTAGCAAAAGGTAAAATTTTTTTCCTGAATATTTTCCATCTGTAGTTGGTTGGACTACAGATGTGAATTCCATGGATACAGAGGGCCGATAGAATACATTGGCAAGGGCATAGCATATGTATTTTACAAACTGCTTTTTCACTTAGTAATAGGTCATGATCATTTTTTTATGGCAATAAATACAAATCTAGAGAGCCACGTTTAAAGGTAGCATAGTTTTCCATTGGATGAGTGTTTATATGTCACTATTTTTTTACCTTGTTGCTTATTAGTGTTTGGGGGTATCTTTAAATTAGAAATACTGTTACTTAGCTGTTTCATTAATTTTTTTTTGTAATTCCCTTACAATAATATTTCAAAACAGGCAGGTATAATGAATGAATAAGTGAATGAATGAAATCCTAGGAATGATCTGGATATCTACATCTATAATTAGCTTGCATTATCATTATCATGTACTCTTTATGGTGCCATTATTCTGGAGATGAATAATTTTCTTCCTTTTCTAGGCCTTGGCCAAAATGAGTGAAACGCCTTCCACCGGTTTTTCCATGATTCATCCAACTTCTTCTGAAGGTCAATTTCCTTCCTCTCGCCATATAAGCGTCATTCATCCTGTTGTGGCCAAAAGGATCAGCTTCTACAAGAGCGGAGATCCGCAATTTGGAGGGGTGAGGGTTGTGGTCAACCCTCGTTCCTTTAAGACTTTTGATGCTTTGCTGGATAGCTTGTCAAGAAAGGTGCCTCTACCTTTTGGGGTGAGGAACATCAGCACCCCTCGCGGAAGGCACAGCATCACATCCCTGGAGCAGCTGGAGGACGGTGAATCCTACCTGTGCTCCCATAGCAGGAAGGTGCAGCCGGTGGATCTGGACAAGGCCCGACAGCGCCCAAGGCCCTGGCAGAGCAGCCGAGCCATCAGTGCGCATGCGCATCACTCCCCTGAGGCTGCCACCTCAGGCCTGCTGCACTCTCCGCGGAAGCTTGTGGTTTTCAGGAATGGCTGCCCGAAAACCCGGCGCATAGTTCTTCTGAACAGGAAGGTCACCCAGAGCTTTGATGCCTTTCTGCAGCACCTAAGGGAGGTCATGCAGTGCTCTGTGACCAAGCTCTACTCCACGGACGGAAGGAAGGTGAGCGCTCTGGAAGCGCCTGGTATCTCATCACATGTCCTGTGCGACCTCAGTCCCAGGGAAGGAAGCTTCGCGAGCAGCAGCCTGGGTGTGCTTATGTGTTTTCACCCTCACAGGAGGTCGCTGACTCACCTGGGCGGGTGCTCCCTTTGTTCTCCAGTCAGTTTTCTCTCCCTTGCTCCCTCCTCTTTTCTGCCTTCCCTGAGCACTGAGTTATATAATGTGTTGGTGTAAATTCTGATCTCTTTAAGGCAAGACAGTATTTCTTGAAAAGGGGTAGCTGAAAGTCATAATCTGTTAGATAGAGAAAGTGGTTTCTTGGGATCCCTCTTACGGGGGCAGAGGAGAGTTTCCCCTGCAGGTGCCAGTGTGTCCACAAGAGCTCACCTTCCTGGCCCTGGTGTGTCCACTAGGTCCTTTGTCATCTGGTTCATCGACCCTTGGCTACAGCTGGATGCTTAGGTGGGGATGGCAGAGGCAGTACTGCAGACCTTTTAAAGATTTCTTCAGTTTGACGGAAGACTAGTCTGTCTCTTTCCAGCTATTAAGTAGGCTCAATAAAGGTGTTGGTATAATCCCTATCTCCCACACTTGGGTATTTTGTTAGTTTGTATACTCATAGGTGCCTAACAAATACTTGGTGATTATCTCTTTGAAGCCCAGGAGTTTGTTGAATTGATTCAATCGGTTGTAAAATTATCTTATGGAAAGAACAAAAACTTTATGCTGCTTATGTAAGGACCATAACCCTTTGGTTTCCTCTAGGTTCCCAGTCTCCAAGCTGTGATGCTGAGCCCTGGAGCTGTGGTGGCCGCAGGAAAAGAGCCGTTTAAACCAGGGTATTATGACATCCAGAAGTACTTGCTTCCTGGTAGATTACCAGGGATCTCTCGCTGTGTGTACCCCAAAGGATATACTAGGTCAGAAAGCAGAAAGGGTAAGTCACTTCATATGTCACTTCATTTGTCATTTAGTTATTTTATGGATATACTAAATAGGTAATTATTAATGTTTCTGTTTTGTATGCATTAGCTGCTGAATATTTGTTATGCATATAGTAGTACTATTTCACCTTGGTCATTTTACTAAGCTTATTTTAGTATTTTGTGTTTGATATGCATTGTTGAGTATGATTGTTGATGGTTTCAAGAATCTGAGGGTTTCCTTAATTTTTACCTCAGAGAGTTATGAGTGAAACATTTTCATTTACAATTTTGGCAAAAGTACAGAGGGATAAGAGAAAATATTTTTAGGTCTATATTTTGAAAAGGTAAAAGTATTGATGGCAAGTATATGAAAATCTATACAAATCACTAATAGGAATTAGATTGGATATAAGAAGCATGAGTGCCAAGATTATCTTTAGAGATACACATTATAAAGATAATGAGATATCTGGGCTTTATGTTTAGCTCTCTTCTGTGCCCTATCTTAAATCATATGCACTGATTATACAAAGTGAAAGCTAACTTAATAATTACTTCATTGTAATCTTTAAATAAATTATAAAATTGCTTTAGCTTTCATAATGCTATAGATGCTTCTCTTGGATGTGTGCAAATAGGAAAATAAACCCCACTGTAAATTATTACTTGCTTTGTTTGAATAAGTGAGCAGTATGTGGTTAGACTCCAATTTCAATACTGATAAAGAAAACAACAACAAAAATAAACACCACACAAATCTATTTTTGATAGATTCATTAGCAATTTCTGCTCTATACTTTTTTTATTAAAATGGCCTTATTCCACTGAGAATTAAAATTCTGTAAATCTCCTCATTTAATTAGAATTGTAAGTTCTTTTTTGAAGAAAAATTTGTAGAAATGTACCAGATATTATAGTGAACTCAAAAAACTAATGAATACATAGAGGTGAGAAACATAAATGTCATCATACTATGAAATTTAGAAAATAATGGTATTTTTCATACTAATTATTTGATTTTTTTCTTCTTTCTTTGCTGCCTCTTCTGTTGGATATATGTATACATAACTTCTCTGTCATCCACATTATATTTTGATGTGGAGTATCTTTTACTCATAAAATCTTGAAAGTGAGCAAACATGTGCCTTCAAATCCAAGGTCCCAGATTTATTCTACTTCTTCTGACAAAATGCGTAATAATGATCACTACTCAGACCATTCCTTTGCTCTTGAAAATGACTTAGCCTTAGAAAAAAAGGATTCTCAGAATTTATTGATCTATCCTTCTGAAGATGATATTGAGAAATCAATTATTTTTAATCAAGATGGCACTGTGACAGTTGAGATGAAAGTTAGATTCAAGATAAAAGAAGAGGAAACCATAAAATGGACAACCAGTGTCAGTAAAGCTGGTCTTTCTAATAATGATGAAAAGAGTGACATAAGCAGTTTTCCAGGAAGAACAGATCTTTCATCTGCTATAAAGATTGAAGCATGTTCATTTTCTGCAGATGTCTCACCTCTGCAGAAATACAGTAATCAAGAGGACAGTTTGGCAGAGGAGAAGAACACTCAAATGACTGATCAAGAGGCTGAAGCTTCTTCTAGTAGGGAGAATGTTGCTATGGACACAAGTGCCATCAAGAGAACTCAGGGTCAAGTAGAGCATCACTTTTATAGGCTCCCCACATCTGGACCAAGGAGAGGGAGACAAAAGAAATCCATGATAGGGAGTGTGACCTTACTATCTGAAACTGAAGTTCAGGAGAAAATGATTGGACAGTTTACCTATGGTGAACAAATGAGAGATGGGGAAAACAAATCTGAGTATCACACATTTACACATTCTTGCAGTAAAATGTCATCAGTATCTAACAAACCAGGACTTGTTCAGATAGATAACAATGAGCAGATGGAGTCATCTTTAGAAAGCAAAAAGGAAAGCAGACAACTTAAGTCAAGTGCAATAAGTGCTGGTGTTGAAGAAATTATAAGTCAGAAGGTGTTAGAGATGTCCCATAATAATGGCTTGCCACACACTATACCAGAAAACGTAAATGTGGAAAAAGGTGTAGTTGATAGTGTAACACCAGACAACAAAACTAGTATCAAGAACTTAAGAACTTGTAACACCAATGATAGGTTCCATCCCATTTCAGCAGATGCAACTCATTCTTCAAGTAACTCTGTAACTGACAAAAATATTTCTGAGACCCCAGCTTCAGCAGGATCATCTACTGTCATCAGAAGAATTGATGGATTAATTAATGAATATGTTCAGTGCAGTTTGACAAAACTTCCAGAAATCAAAAAGCAGATTCCATCATCTGTTGCTAGAAAAAAGAAGAGGAAATCTCAGCAGCAAGTGATAAATTATAGGCATCAGGATAGAGAAATTACAACTAAACAAATCCCTTGTAAGAGTAAGAGAATAAATGCAAAGAGTAGAATCGCACAGAAAATCATGTTGCAAGGTTCACACAGTCCAGTTAAAGGAATGTTACTTTGTGAGGAAGATCTCCATGCAAGTAATATGGTAATTGAAACAAATTATTTTTGTTCAAAAAGTAACCTCAGTCCTGAGAATTTCAAAAATTTCCAAAGAAATAAATTAAATACTGTTCCGAATTCTAATATTCAAGGACTTTTAACGAAAAGAAGATCCAGACCATTAAACAAAGTAAACTTAGGAGGCCCTGTAAAAAAAGAAATTGATCAAGGAGATAAAACATGTCCCTCTAATGAATTCAGATATTGCAAAAATACTTTTCAAAATCAAAATCAAAATCAAAATTTATTTCATGTGTTTAACTTTCTTGATCAAAACCCCAGTGCTTTCTGTAGACCTCATGCTCAAGCAAAACTAGCATCTTGGTATTTGAGAAGAATGGAAAAGAAGAGTTCAGTTTCAAAATTTAGTAATGCACACATAACTTTAAAAAGCCAGAAAAAACATATAGAGGATAAGTTAAAATCAGGAACTAGTTTTAGTACTACAACAAGGTCAAATCCCTTACCTTCTTTGAAAAAAGAAGATGTTTTTCCTGAGGATGTTACCTATTATTCAGATGAAAATTATATACAGAGATGGTTGCAGGATATAAATCCACATTCAGCTTTGCAACCTAAAAAATCAACACCAATATGCAAAAAGACAAGGAGTGTGGTAAATTGTAACAATAGTTTTCCAGGAAATAATAACCATGTAAATTCTGAAAAAGGAAGTAATTTTGTCATGGAAAGTAATAAGCACATAACTAAAAATGCCAGTTTGACAGGAGATAGTCTAGGTAAAGAGGCAGGTAAATCTTTCGACAAAGATAACAGTGAAGAACTTACCAAAGATTTCCATGAGAGCCCGGTTGAATCTCTGAGTGATGCTTGCTTGCTTCCCCTGCATGAATGTTGTACTTTGTCACAGTTAGCTATTGATGATCATGACACTAAAAGTCAAGTATCTGTTGAAAAGTCAGGACCTTGTTTACCAAGCTTTGTTTACCAAGAAATAAACCTATCTACAAAAGGGCAAAGTGTAGAGGCTGCCATCCAAGTAGATCCAATTGAAGGGGCCACTCCAGAAGACCTCTTACTAGTCCTGTTGCATCACCAAATGCAAGTTTTAGTTCCCAGTATTGACAAGACTCAGAATGGTGTTGTTCAAGTGCCAGGCTCACTTGTAGATGTCCCTTTTCATTCCCAAGTATATGATTCATCCACTAGTGTCCTTCTAGCTTGGCTCCTGGTGCTAAACCTTAAGGGAAGGATGAATAGCTTTTGTCAAGGTGATGATCACAAGACTACCAACAGAACTTCAGAAGTACTTGCACTGTTGGAGGTTCTAAAGCACATTGCCATTACAGAGAAAGCTGATGACTTGCAGGTTGCTGTTGCCAGTTTAATGGAGTCAACTACAAATCCCCTCACACTCACTGAAAAAGGACAAGACATTGTTCCAACAGGTCTTTCTACAAATTGTTCTACACCCAACATTCAGAGAGTTACTAAGTGCATTGAAAATGAAAAAACACAGAAAATCTTTTCTTTAAGTGCCAGTGAGGACTGTGCTTCTGAAGACTGTGTTTCAGAGGTGATTTGCTCTCTATGTGAGATGTGCACTGTGAGTAAGATTTATCCTCCAAAAGAAACTTGTAACCTCAATAATATTTTTCCCCACAGTGATGGCTGTACCATAGATCAGACCTCTATGGATCAGGCTTGTTTCATAGGAGAGGTCTGTTCACTTACTGATGCTGTGTATTCCCATAAGGCTTGTCCTCATGAGGAAAACTGTACTAATGACACAGCTTGCCCAATGGATGCAGCTTCCATTCCCATCAAGGTTTGCAATACCAATGACTTTTCAAATTCCAACAAAATCACATATACTGATAATTTGGAATGGACTGAAGGGTTAGAAGTAGTTGATGATATTCAGAAAGACCTAAATATTTTGGCAGATCCTGGATATAAACATGGCTGTGATATATTGATGTCACACCAGAATAGCAATTTAAGCCACTGTGGCTTTTTCCTAAATGCATCTGAATCAGAATTTGATAAGAAACATAGTGCTCTAGATGAACTTAAAAATTGTTCATTAAAGAAATTTCAGGATAAAAATGCATATACATCCTTTGATCAAGAATCAAAGAGTTCTGAAGAACCAGGCTCAATAACCAACAGCACAACATCAAATGAAAGACACATTTCAGAATTGGAATCTTTTGAGGAATTAGCAAAGCAAGACAGTGATATCTTTAATACAAAGCTAAATGTAGGAGAGAAAGCCACTGAAGAATTGATCCAAAAAGAATTAGAGGCTGGCAAAAATTTGGAATTGATAGAAGTCTCTAGCAGGAACATTACAGAAAAAGAAAGAAAGAATGGTGTAATTTGTGAGACAGTTGGTCAGAGGCTGGCAACACCACCATCTTTATTGTTTTGCGGTGATTCTAAGCAAAATACCAAAAAGGAGCTCAAAGTAGGAGAGACTAAAATGAGAGTAAAAATG